TAAAATGCTATCTTTTCATTAATGCTAAAATGCTTATTTCATTTCATTAAAATGCTATCAATGTATTAAATAAACCGGAATAGAATAAGAAAACAGCGAAATAATGAAAGCATATTGGAGACTGATTGGATTCGGCTCATTTGAGAGTCTAAAAAATCGGCTGCATAACTCGAAACAAAGATCTTTTAATACAGAAATGTAGCCAAGAAATGCGGCTTCAATTTTCTATCTAATACTTAGGATTTCTTTATTGAGTTTAGCATGCAATCTGCTGAAAAGGTGTAGTCGTAATGCTTGGCGTAATGCTTTGCGTAATGCTTTGCGTAATGCTTGGCGTAATGCTTTGCGTAATGCTTTGCGTAATGCTTGGCGTAATGCTTTGCGTAATGCTTTGCGTAATGCTTTGCGTAATGCTTGGCGTAATGCTTTGCGTAATGCTTTGCGTAATGCTTTGCGTAATGCTTTGCGTAATGCTGGAAAACTCCGTATTTTGTGCATCAAATTGTTAATAAACTTGTTAACAAATATGTTTTCTTGAATATTTCGCATCACAATTAATTTATTGTAATCTTTTTTTGAAGAGGGAATTCACAAAGAATAAAGTTTAAATGATCTACCGTATTTCTTCGAATAGAAGACCGGGTAAAAGAGTATGATCGCGTACTCCTGCGTAGCAGCCCTCTTTAAAATTTCTTTTCTGCATAAAAGCTTTCAATGAAGTGCTATAGGGCTGGAAAATGGCTCAAAAATACCACATGAGCTAACAGATTTTTGAGCCATTTTCCAACTCTATAGCACTTCATTGAAAGCTTTTATGTAGAAAAGAAATTTTAAAGAGGGTTGCTACGCAGGAGTACGCGATCATACTCTTTTACCCGGTCTTCTATTCGAAGAAATACGGTAGATCATTTAAAAAGTGATCTATTTTTTCGAATCTTGTTGTTCTTGTTTTTGTTGATTGTTGATTGTTGAAATCTTGTTAATTTCTTCTGATTTCTCTTCAATTCACTAGATCATTTAAATCCTTTGTAAGCTCATTAAAAACAACTACCAACAGCTCATTAAAAAACAACTTCTCTCTTCACAAGATCACTAGGTAAATCTTTCGCACCACAATTGATTTATTTTCATCTTTTTTGAAAAGGGAATTCACAAAGAATAAAATTTAAATCATCTAGATCAAGTGATCTATTTTTCCGAAACTTTTTCAATAAAGAGCTAAAAATCTTGTTGATTTCTCATGATTTCTCTTCACTTCACTTCACTTCATTTCTCTTCACACTTCTCTCTTCACTAGATCATTTAAATCCTTTGTAAGCTCAATAAGCTGCAAGCTGTAAGCTCAATAAAACTCAATAAAACTAAAAATCTTGTTGATTTCTCATGATTTCACTTCTCTTCTCTTCTCTTCTCTTCTCTTCTCTTCTCTTCTCTTCTCTTCTCTTCTCTTCACTTCTCTTCTCTTCTCTTCACATTTCTCTCTTCACTAGGCCATTTAAATCCTTTGTAAGCTCAATAAAACTCAATAAGCTCAATAAGCTGTAAGCTGTAAGCTCAATAAAACTCAATAAAACTAAAAATCTTGTTGATTTCTCATGATTTCACTTCACTTCTCTTCTCTTCACTTCTCTTCACTTCATTTCTCTTCACCTTTCTCTCCTCACTAGGCCATTTAAATCCTTTGCAAGCTCAATAAAAAAAACAGGTGGATTTGAAAGAAAATCTCTGGAAAGGTCACTCGATTTTTGGTTTTCTGAGTCATTCAGAATTGAAAGAAATCAGAAATTGAAGTCGAGTGGATTTACGAAGAATTTTGTACTCTAATTATGTGGGATTTCAGTTGTGTTTTGTTCTAGCAATTATCAGTATTCTTAATCCAATAAAATGATCAGATAAGGTGCATCAGAAATCTAATGATCAATGAATGATTAAAATAAAATAAACCATATAATCTAATGACTTTTGTACTCTATTATGTGGGATTTCAGTTGTGTTTTGCTCTAGTAACCATCAGTATTCTTAACTTAATAAAATGATCAGAGAAAGATCTCATCGAACATCTAATGATCAATGAAATTCGAAAAATAAAGCACCTAGATAAACCGAACCAAGAAACAAGTCGAATTCGTTATTAACGTGTATGGTTTATTGGTTTCACGATCGCATTTTGTGTGTACAGTCGCGTACAGTCGCGTACAGTTAACTCTTTTACTGATAATTTAATAAAATGATCAGAGAAAGATCTCATCGAAAATCTAATGATCATTCAATAATTCAAATATAATTCTGATAATTTAAAGATAAACTAGCTATAAACTATTGAAATCATTCGATAGCTTTGAATCTTCTCTTCAAAACTAATACAAAGTTACACTTTAAAACCTTAAAAAGTCCTTAAAAACGAGTTGAGATTAAAAATAATCGTCATTAGTAGTTATTCTCTTAGATTTATGGTTATTTTTTTTCTTTTTTTAGAGCTTAGGGGTTCTGCTACATTTATTACATTCAACAATATTATTAAAAAATACATTTAATCGTCTGAATACTTGTATTTTAACTACAACTCTTGAATGGCTATTAGTAAATGTTAAATCAGACTCTCATCTACCAGACTCTCATCTACCAGATTATCATCTATTAGACTATCATCTATCAGACTCCCATCTACCAGACAATCATCTACCAGACTATCATCTACCAGACTCTCATCTACCAGACTCTCGTCTACCAGACTATCAGATCGGGTTTTTCAAATCGGGAAAATCTTTTCATAGTGCAAAAGCAGACAATCGAAAAAAGCGCGATCAACAGTTGTCAATTTTGAAGGGGAAATTTAAGAGAGGAAGTGTTTTAAACGAGCACAGCAAATGATTGGGGGTGGGTGCTAAAAGTGGAAAGGAAAGCTCATTTAAAGAAAAAGAAGTTCCCATTTTTTTGAGGTTTCTTGATTTTTGACCTCTTTCCACATCCGTTCCTTGATCATTCACTCTTCTGGATCTCTCTTGTCTCTTGTCCATCCTCTTGTCTCTTCTCTTGTCCATCCAATCGTTCTCTTTCATTGGCACCAACACTTTAGAGAAATCGATCAGATTTGCAGGAAATGGAGTAGATTTTCATGATTATAAAATACCGATTTCTTTCATTTCTCTTGATCTTTGATCACAACAATTCAAAAGGACTTCAAGAAGTTTGTCAAATTTAAATTTACTTTTCTATTTAATACTAGTTTCTTTTCCCATTCTTAGCTTTATATATCAAATTTGAATTCAGTAATATAACTATCTCCTCAAAAAAGTGATGCTCACTTCAACAACAAGAATACCAATGATTTGCTGACAATTGTCTTCAAAGCAAGCCGATTTTTCTAGGCTTCTCCTGGTTTAATTTACCCATAAAAAGGTTGTACTTGTCAGAAGATAGCTCTAAATTGACCTGGCTCTAAACAAATGCTTTCTAGAACACTCGATTCATTGCTGTGCCAGGAAATTCGCATATAGAAGAGTTCAAAGTGCAAATTAATGTTAAAAAAAGTGATGCTCAGTTCAACAACAAGAATGCCAATCATTTGCTGACAATTCTATTTCTATTTAATACTAGTTTCTTTCCCCCTTCTTAGCTTTATATATCAAATTTGAATTCAGTAATATAACTACCTCCTCAAAAAAAGTCATGATCACTTCAATAACAAGAATATCAATCATTTTAAAATCTATAACCATTGCTGAAAATTGTCTTCAAAGGACAATTTTCTAGGCTTATCCTGGCTTAATTTACCCACAAAAAGGTTGTACTTGTCAGAAGATAGCTCTAAATTGACCTGGCTTGACTTTGGCACTGAGGAAATGGCACTGAGCTCATGAAATTGATTTCATCAAGAAAAGAGGAGAAGTTTAAGGATCTAGGATTGATCAGGACAAAAAAACTAGCTTTCCATTAGATAAAAGTCGTTTTTTTTCTAGTTAATCAATCAAAAGTGAATCACTGATAAGTAAAAAGCAAAGCAATACCTTTAATGTTAACAAGTTTAAGCTCAAATTGCTTGTAGGAATCGATCGATCCAATCATGTGAACAACGCCGAAACTTGAGCTTTCTAGGAAGCTTTTAAATCGAAATCTCCCCAAATAACCGCTGAACTCAAAGTTAAAAGAATTCTTTCAAAAGATCTTTCCATTCATCTCGAATTTCACTTCATTTTTCTCTTTCCCAGATCATTTTCCTTTCCGCATTTTTCCTTTGAAGAAACTTTCGATTTTTCGATTTTCTCGCCTATTCCCTGATCAACAGCTTTGTTTTTTTAAAGTTTGGCTTTTATGAGAACAATTTCAGCTTTCAGAACAATTTCAGACAAGCCTGCCAGGAACAGTTTTAGATCTAGAGCCTTTTTCAGATTAGAAGATCAAAGCTGATTGTTATCAATCCTTAGACATTGAAGATTCTTGTTAAAACTGAATCTATAAAAGCTTGTAATCTTAAGCTAAGATCTCAATTCTTTTGCTAATTGCTTTCACTCAAAAAACTAGGTAATTTCAAGCTGAAATTGTTCTAGTTACCTAGTTTTTTTGAGTGAAAGAAGATTAGGAAAAGAATTGAGATCTTAGCAGAAGATTACGAGCTTTTATAGGTTTAGTTTTAACAAGAATTTTCGATGTCTAAGAATTGATAACAATCAGCTTTGATCTTCTAATCTGGAAAAGGCTCTAGATCTAAAACTGTTCCTAGCAGGCTTGTCTAATCATATCCTGTCTAACCTAGAATTGCAATAACCAGATTTCACAAAATTTCGAATTGTTGAAATCATTTTCAAAGCTCTATCTATCTATCAATCTTTTGTTGAACACAGGTGTTGAAGCGCTTCTTTCTCTTTGACTTCCCCTTTCCTCAATGCCTTTCCATCATGAGATCAAGCATGACTCTTTTCACTCAAAAGTCTCAAATTTCTTTTACCATTTCATAATCGTCATTAAGATTTCAATTTAGACAAACATTTCGTGTGAATGGAATGGAGATTCGTTGCTGCTTTTGCTGTGAGGACTATCGAATAGGTCAGTCAACGAAAAGGTCGAAGCTTTGTCTGTATTACAACAAAATACGGTCAAGAAAACGCTCTCATTTTCCTGAAAAGTGACTCTGAGTTTCTCAGGATGCCTAATTTGTTTAAAAGTACAGCCAAAATTCGGGCATAGTGACCCCCAAAGGAAGTAGGCCGCCTCAGCCGTTGGCCACCTCTCCTTACCCTTACCAGATTCGAAAAAGTGAAGCACCGTATATCCGAGCGGTTTGCCAGATAGCGAGCGATTATGCAGCTCAATCCAATGTCAAAAGCGTATCACCTCTCCTAGTTTATTAACAGTAAATAAAACTTAGAAATCTCTTTATAGGGATTTTTCTTTTCCTTTGTAGATGACTTTAAATGAAGAGATTTGGGTTTAAATTTGTACCCGGGGGGTTTTCGGGGTCGGAGAATCGATCGGCGATATTCATTCTTTTCAATCTACTAATTGGAACTTAGATTTAATTGATTTTTAGATAAATTCGGAAACTAATTAGTTTATCTTGAAGATTCGCAACTTTGAAATGAAATATTGGTTTGTCGAGTTATGAATGCGCGTTTTTTACTATTTTGTAAACTTCTCAAGATACCGAAATCAAGAAAAAGATATCTATGAGTATTATTCGAAAGCTGAAGATCTCCTCTACATTTTGATATAAAAACGTTTTTGAATTTGTTCAGCTTTTGGGCAAATTGATGGCACAGAACAAATTGACTGGCCAAAAAATGGAAAGGTGCCTTTGGATCAAGTTTTGGCTTCGCTCAAATTGAGTTAACCGTTTGATGTTTGACCAATAGATATATCAATACAACTTTTTTTTAAAAATATAACAATTTCAGAGCATCTTTTCTTTTCTGGGCGGTTATTTTACACGATAAAACTTGAAGAATAGCTAAGCTGGAATAAGTTTTTTTTTGGAAAACGACCTCTCCCTTTGTGCAATCAATTTCCCCGAAAAGTTGAACAAATCTTAAAGCTTTTTATTCCAAAATGTAGAGAAGATCTTCAGCTTTCGAATGATATATAACACTCATATACATCTGTTCGATGTCTTGAGAAATTTACTTGAGGAATAGCTTAACTGGAATGGGTTTTTTTTCGAAAACGACCTCTCCCTTTGTGCAGTCAATTTCCCAAAAAGCTGAACAAATTCCAAAGCTTTTTATATCAAAATGTAGAGGAGATCTTCAGCTTTCGAATGGTATATAACACTCATATACATCTGTTCGATGTCTTGAGAAATTTACAAAATAGTAAAAACGCGCATTCATAACTGGACAACCCAATAATAAGCCTAGTTCAATGTTTATCTATTTTTAGAAATATTGTAAGTTAAAGAAGGTAACGAAAATAGATAATGGGAAAAGAACTGAATTCTATGAATTCTATGAATCAAATGGACTCTGATTTAGTGATAGAGGACGAGTACTCGGGAACACCGGGCAGTGAGTACACGTGTTGTCAGGGCACTGTTCACATAAAGGTTTGTGCAATTGGATAACAACAAAGCAGTTTATCATTTTAAATGATTTTCAAATCTATTTCTGTCTCTTTTTCGCTCTTTTTTCGAATCCCATTTAAATCAAAGCAATCATTTTCTCGCTTTTCCATCATTTTCAATGAGAAATTTTGAAGAATAGCAGAAAATGAGGAAATTGTGTCGAAATTCGTGAAATCCCCTCGAGAATTTGTGCCTCATCTCAACAAAATGACTGCCCTTTCTTTACGTTTATCGATGAAAGTTTCTTTTTTCAGAAAAATGTGAATTAAAGATTTTTGTCAATGATAATATTTTGAAATAGCAAAAATTTCTCTCAATTTTTCCACTTTAAGCAGTGTTTTTTTGGGCTTTCGAATTCAAACTTCGACATTTTAAAGCTTTAATTACCCAGAGAACTCTGTAATTTTGTAATCTTAAATGTATTAGAACATTCAAAAATTCAACCGTTTTTTAGGGTATTGATCGTCTTTTTTTTTTTAATTTATTGAAAAACCAAAATTTTCTAACTTATTCATTGAAAAACCCTTAAAATACCGGATTTTCTCTAATAGTAGTGCAGCCTGGCAAGCCGAGTTGGTCACTATTTTACGGTTTCGAAGCTTTTACAGAAGAGCTTTTGCTCAACACTCAAATCCCCCACAAGATCTCATCGTCAGCTACATTTTTCGACCCCACATCGTTAGGTTCTGATAAGCGCTTTTCGAGATTTCAAGGAATTTAGGCAACGCTCAGTGTGCAGGGCTATTAGAGAAAATATGGGGTTCGGCGATTCAGCTAAAACTATTGTAATCTAGAAATTAAATAGTTGAGAAAGAGGTATCACCATGTTACCATAATCTGCCAAAGCTGTTTGCTCTATTCTCTTTCTCTCCAATATTAGTGCACCCCACCGAGCTGAGTTGATCACTATTTTAAGGTTTCCAAGCTTTCCCAGAACCTCAACACTCAAATCTCCCACAAGATCTCATATAATAATAATAATAATAATGATTTGATCTGTCTTCGCACTTAGCGCAGATCACAACCTGCTTCCACATTTACTGAGGCAGAAGTGTAGTTGTCGTAGCCGATCATACTCCGATGGCCGGGCTAGGGCGCTCGGACAAGAGCTCATCGTCAGCTACATTTTCCGATCCACATCGTTAGGTTCTGATAAGCGCTTTTCGAGATTTCAAGGAATTTAGACAAAGCTCAGAGTGCACTACTATTCGAGAAAATACGGTAACTAAAATCGAATCTCCATTTAGTTATTATTTTCACTTTTTTTAGAGCTTTTGCCAAATCCTTTTATTATTTCAAATGATGTATTGAGGATTTCTCTTTATTTGTTTCATTTTTTCTAAATCGGATTAAATTTTCTTCACATTTTCTTCAAAGAATTGCTAAAATTAATCCATAGAATAAGCAAATATTCGAAATTTGAGTGATTCTTTTAAGAAAAAAACTTTTCTATACTTGTTTTCCCATTTACACCTTAAGCATCTCTACAAGAATGGTTTTTGAGAAGCCTTGAAAGTTATCTTTTTTTATCTTTTTCAATATTCAAAGATTTTCCGATCAAAATTAGAGTTTTTTTTTTGATAGACGTTTCCTTTCAAAATCTATATATGTTGTGTCCGATTTAGATTTCCGTCCGATTTAGATTCAATCTTATATATTCAATCTAAATCTTATATATGTCGTAGCCGATTATGAATGAAATTTTTTGGTAAATCTTTCTAGTAGAGCAACCCTTTAATGTATGAGGACAATATTATATGATCTTGTAGCGAATTAAATTCTGCGTCGATTCGTACCAAATTTGTGAGTTTAGGTTAAAAATTACCGGCGCTACAACGTTTCATTCAAAATCGGCGGGACCCCCCGTAGCCGATTATGAATGAGTGGGTCTAGGAGCGTCCATCCATCAAGTATTTGGTATCATTCAACGCAGAATCATTAATAATTATGTTAAATTTTTGAAATTAGAAAGATTGGATAAAAAGAAAAAAAATTATGGGGCCTCAAAGTTTCCTCTTGAACAAACAGTTTTTTTGCTCTAATTTTTTTTCTTTTTATCAAATCTTTCTAATTTCAAAAATTTAACATAATTATTAATGATTCTGCGTTGAATGATACCAAATACTTGATGGATGGACGCTCCTAGACCCACTCATTCATAATCGGCTACGACATATAGATTGAACAATAATATAAACATGCTTAATATATGTTCTTAAGCGTTTTCTGTAGTTTTCTGCATTTTTCAAAGGTCTTTTATTGATTGCAGTCTATATCGGACGTCCGATACCGATCGAACAATAATAAACGTGCTTAATATATGTTCTTAAGCGTTTTTTTTTGCAATTTTCTGCGCTTTTCAAAGAAATTTTATTGACTTTTTTTTGGAGAATTTTTTGTTTTCTTGTTTTCCTATTAAATGCTTACTATTATCCTATTAAAGTTAAAAACTACAGAAAACGCTTAAGAACATACAGTACTGGACAATGAAATATCATATTTGAAAAACGATCCTCACTTTCGCGCCTCTGTAACTCCGTTGTCTTTAAGTTTAAACTATTAGTGTTATACATTTTCTGAAAGCTCTTTTCAAGGGCTACATAATGGTAATAATAATATTTAGAAATATGGTATTTCTTGACGCATTTCAGCGCGCACAAGATGGGATACTCAAAATTGTTGATTTTTAAAGCTATTTTTCTTTATGATAGAGTGCTGGAATCGCTCTGAAACTACGATTTTCGGAATCTACGCAAAAATTCACCTTAGAATAATCAATCTTTGTAAAATTTTATCAAAGTTTCATAGCGAAAAAAGTCACATTTGCGAAATTCTCACTTCTTGAGCGGTTCTTTACAAAAATTGTGTTGCATGCAACTTTGAGTGTTTTTCTTTCTTTGCCTTGGGTAAAATGATAATAATTACTGTTTTTAGGTGCAATGGGAAAGCAACGAGGATGCAAGGATCTTCATGTGCTTACACAACAAGCAATCCTTAACGGCAAAAAGCAAGGTCTTAGCCAGAACCACTTATCGGAACAGTTCACCGTCTCTCAGTCAACCATCTCCAGGTTTCTACAACGATCTAAAGTTCGAAAAGTCGAAACTTGAGCGACGAACTAAGAATCTCAAAGCCGGCAATGCCGATGAGAGGTTTGCACAATTGGAGCAGGCTTGGAATTCAATCCCCGTCAGTTTCATCACTAATCTTCTTGATTCAATGCCTCGGCGATGTCAAGCTGTAATCGACGCTAAAGGATTTGCTACTAAATACTGAAAGCCCAATTGTGTGCTCTGGAGTTTTCCCCACTATTGTTACTGTTTTTGTTACTTTTTAATTTTACTATATTTTTGTTAAATATTTGTTTTCCAGCTTCTTCCTCGCTTGACTGCTCAAGAAGTGAGAATTTCGCAAATGTGACTTTTTTCGCTATGAAACTTTGATAAAATTTTACAAAGATTGATTATTCTAAGGTGAATTTTTGCGTAGATTCCGAAAATCGTAGTTTCAGAGCGATTCCAGCACTCTATCATAAAGAAAAATAGCTTTAAAAATCAACAATTTTGAGTATCCCATCTTGTGCGCGTTGAAATGCGTCAAGAAATACCATATTTCTAAATATTATTATTACCATTATGTAGCCCTTGAAAAGAGCTTTCAGAAAATGTATGACACTAATAGTTTAAACTCAAAGACAACGGAGTTACAGAGGCGCGAAAGTGAGGATCGTTTTTCAAATATGATATTTCATTGTCCAGTACTGTATATTAAGCACGTTTATATTATTGTTCATTCTATATAAGACGTATTATTGTTCAATCAATATAAGATTTAGATTGAATCTGAATCGAACGTCCGATATAGACTGTAATCTAAATCGGACGGAAATCTAAATCGGACACAACATATAGATTCTATAAAATTTGTAATTCTTATCCCCGAAAAGCTTTCGAGCTTCGAATTTTATCTTTTAGCCTTAAAATTCCCCATTCTTCTCTTGTTTTCACTTATTCTGGAAAGCATTTTGCTTAACAAAACGCTTTTAAAAGCAATTCCACAAAAATAAGTCTTTTTTTAAAGAAATTTCTTTCATCCTGGATATCACTTTAATTAAAAATATCGAAAAAATAAAGAATAAAGATATTTTTTCGATTTTTTTTTATTGATGTACTAAAATTTCAATAACATTTTTCAAAATCATCTCTATTTCTTTGATTTTCATTTATGTTAGATCGATGATTGCTTGAAAAACTTTGAAAAAAGTAGGATTTGTGGTGTTTTTGGGGTGGTGAAGCTGGAGAGAAGATCTCACGCCTGTTACACCCAAGGAAAAGAGGTGAAACGGGCAAAAAAGTTGAGGGTAGTCTTAGGAAAAAAGGGGGGATTTTTCGAAAAAGACAAGGAACAAGGATAGGAAATGGCACTGATCTCATCAAATTCATCAAGAAAAGAGGAGAAGTTGCTTGTCGTAATTGATGAGTGCCAATTGACAAGAGGGTCAGGTCCAATTAGATTAAAAGTGTCAAGAAAAGTTTGTGAGAATTGTTTGAACTCGATTTTGTCATTAGTTTCAAAGTTTTGTAGTCACAGTTGCAATAAAACTTGAATAAAACTTGAATAAAACTCGATTTTTCTCGAGCAAACAATTCTTCAAGAAAGTCAATAAAAAAAATTAAAATTTGTCATGAAATTCGTGATTTTAAGGAAAGGCAGGTGTTTTGAAGCGGAAAATTGAGAAGATTGGAGTGAAAGGGTTCACTGAATCACTGGATTAACTCGATTTTTCTTTATAGATTCTCATTTTAGACTTTCACTAGGAAATCGATAAGATTTCATTTGTTTTTTAAGCTTTACAACTGAATATCTTTCAACTGAATATCTTTTACCATCTAAAATCCCTTAAAGAAAGAGGTGTTCTTTGTGCGGAAACACTCGCCATCTGGCATACCCTTAAATCATTTTATATAGAAATTGATCAAAGAAAAAAAATGATAAAATGAATTTGTGATATCCAGTTTGAATAAAATTAAATTCAGAATTATATTTGAATGCATTTGACTTGTAAAATGACTTAGTGAATGAATTTTGAGGCTATCACTTGTACAAATGACTACTGTAAATACTGTAATAGTACCCCCACTTCCATAATGACGGTGCGGAGTGTTGCGTAGTCTAGCTTTGAACGAGTTTTTCTCGACACTGGTTTATGCTACAATGCTCGCTTAGATATCAAAAAATAGCTGAAATTCAGCTATTTTTTCATACTGTCATCTCCGAGCCAAACTGATATTTTAGTTATCATTGTTATTATTGAATGATTTGTCTATTCTTATGCAAATGTGTTCTCCCCTGTGCTTATCCCTTTTATCAAAAAAATAGCTCAGAATTTCAGCTATTTTTTGATACCAAAGATAATGATGGTGCGGAGTGTCGTGTAGTCTAGCTTTGAACGAGTTTTTCTCGACACTGGTTTATGCTACAATGCTACAACATATATCAAAAAATAGCTGAAATTCAGGGCTATTTTTTGATATTAAAGTGCACATTGTAGCATGAAGCAGCGCGGAGAACGGGATGTTTAAAGTTAGACTACGCAACCATCCCGAAAAAACGAGTTTTTCTCGACACTGGTTTATGCTACAATGCGCGTTTAGATATCAAAAAATAGCCCTGAATTTCAGCTATTTTTTGCTACCAAAGACACATTTTTTGAAAGTACGGGCGCTTTGAAAAAAAATGAAATACTTAAAATCGAAAATGATATCCATATTCGAATTTGGATCCCATTTCTTTAGCGACTACGCGACTGTACGAGGGGAGATGGGGTACTATTACAGTATTTACGGTAGTTAAAAGTCGATTTCTTATTGTATAAACACAAAATGATATCCATATTCGATTTTGAATTCGATTTCAGACAGCCACAATGTACGTGGGCATTTCCGCGTTGATCCTCTCGGCTTTCTCGACGATTTGCATGTTTTTCGGGATCTATTCAGTCAATCTCTGGTTGGATATCATTCTGATCGTTGTGAACACAGTGGTCGCCATTCTATTATTGATTGGGATTTACTATGAGAAAGCATGGATGATGATTCCGTTTATTATCACCGAGGTAAGTGTAAAAATGGAATGTTCTTTTTGAATATAACTTTAGACAACTTTATACTTTTCAGTGCATTGAAATCTCGAATTTTTCTTGTTTTTCAAGTATTTCTGGAAGAATTTAGAGAATTCATTGTTCCAGAACGTTCGTTGACGTTGATGTTGACGTTGACGTTGAGGTTGACGTTGAGGTTGACGTTGATGTTGACGTTGACGTCGACCTTGACGTTGACGTTGTTGACGATGAATTGCAATAAGAATTTCAGATCATCCAATGCGTTCTTTTCTTTTCCCTCGCCAGCTACACTCTCTATTATATGCTCAAATTTAAACAAGATCGATTCCGGAGATTTGGTAGAGAAAAGGGATTGGGTTTTGATTGAAAATCGACTTCAGATCAAATTCTAATGGTTATTTCAATCTATGTGGGAATTGTGATTTGTGGATCGGCAATCTGGGCAGCAGCAAAATGTTTTCATTATCTAAAAGTTGAATAATTTAATAATATTGATAGATTTCAAATTTCAGGATAAAGAAAAAAATCCATCGGAAAGCCGAGTACAACAAGATCGACGGCCGACAATGTCAGTTGAATAAAAGTACTTTGGAGCTTGGTAAACGCAGTCTTTCTAGCTGATTAAATCAGGCTTAATAGCGTAACGATTGTGCTAGAAACGGTGCGTTTACAAAGAGTACAAAGTCGCGAGATTGTTGTTAAGAATGGTGGATGGAAAAAAAGAGGATAAACTATTTCAGTGACACGTCAATCCATGTAGAATGCGGTATGAATGGCACTGGCTATTGGTTGTAGTATTCAATTTTTCAAATTTCTATTCATTTTTGTGATTCTCATTCCTTTACCCCAATTTTCTGATCTCATTTCATCATTTTTTTTTTTCGTCAAATTTCAACGACCAACATTTCTCATTACGGTTATTTTGTTTGTTTTGTTCTTTCAAATGGTGCTATTACCGTCCTTCTCTCTAATAGTAACTCAGCCGAGTTGATCACGATTTTACGGTTTCCAAGCTTTTACAGAAGCTCAAGACTCTAATCATCGTCAAGATCTCATTGTCAGCTATATTTTCCGACCCACATCGATAGGTTCTGATAAGCGGTTCTCGAGATTTCGATCAATTTAGGCAAAGCTTAGGGTGAACTACTATTAGCGAGAATATGGTTTATTTTCTTAAAATACCGGATTTTCTCTAATAGTAGTGCAGCCTGGCAAGCCGAGCTGGTGATTATTTTATGGTTTCTAAGCTTTTACAGAAGAGCTTTTGCTCAACACTCAAATCCCCCACTAGATCTGATCGTCAGCTCCATTTTTCGACCCCACATCGATAGGTTCTGATAAGCGGTTCTCGAGACATCGATCAATTTAGACGACGCTCTGGGTGAACTATTATTAGAGAGGGTCTAAAAGATGGAATGAGTGGTACTGTTTTAAATTTTTAATAAAACATGACGCTCTGGCTGAGCTATTATTAGAGAGAATACGGTTTATTTTTGTAGATTTTCAAAATAAAAGATTCAAATCAGATTCAAATTATAGAATTAAGAAAACAAAAGAACAATATAAATTTTGAAAGAAATATAGAATATCAAAGAGTCGGTACTAGATGAATTGTATGCATTTGAGAAGCTACTTTCACTCAGCTTGATTTAGAGAGTTTGAGAAATGCAGACTCTGACGATGTGCCCGACCATACTCGTGCTCGATGCTGCCGGTCTCGCCCACTCGCCTAGCCAGCTCTATCCCCACCTGTGCTCACAGACGATGTGTCGCTCGCCCATTCTCTCGGTTCCGACTATCATCTCGTCACCGAAGGTCTTCCCGAGGTGATCACTTGCCGTCTCTCCACTCTTCCGCTGATCTTCCGCCTTTTGGGGAACATTTTTGCCGCCTTTGGGCTCGATGGATAGATTCTTTACACGTACAGAACGAAAGCTAAAGAGCTAATCGTCCTCGACCATTGAAGATCGTGAATAGTTTTTATTTTCGATGATTTGGACAACTATCAAAGCAGAGAGATGCTTTCTTGCTTCAACTTTGATCGTAGTACTTTTAAGAACATTGATTTCGATCAATGTTATGAAATACCTCCATGAGACTCCACTTGCAAAAAGAATCAGGGCTAAAATGGTTCAAGTGTTGATTATAAAGATGTAAATTTTGAGCTCATCTTTTACATTGAACGATTAGACGAGCGATAGTGACAAATTTAGGTCAGCTAAAACCCTGTTTCCGAAGTAAAACAAGAAATTTTGTTTCTAGATCTCCGATAAAGTTTTTGAGCTTATATATATGCTTTATTGAGTTGAATAGCGAGAAAATAAGATCAAAATAATCATCCAGAACACCAGTCAAAACAAAAAAGATAAAAAGATACCTTAAGAAAGAATCACAGATCAGTTAAATGAATTGCCGAAATTGTGGCTTTAAATCTAACCAAGGTGGGAATATTATGAACATGAGGGGGTAAAAGACTCCATAATTTAATAACTCGAAGAAACTGTGGAAGCTTTTAGAGGAGAGGGAAAGTTGGCGTATGAGAAAAGGGCCCCTGGAGGCCTTCTGGAGGGAGGTAGAGAGCCCAATTCATTTGATAAAAACTTAGAGAGAAGAACGACAGAGGCCAATTCAAAGAGAGAACCCAATTCAAAGAGACTAGAAAAAAGAGGATCGGGATTAGTGATCAAGTTAGAACAAAAAACATTGTGCTATTACTCTTTAACCTTTTTCACACACAAAATAGGTTAACTTAGCTATATATATGCTTTATTGAGTTGAATAGCGAGAAAACAAGATCAAAATAATCATCCAGAACACCAGTCAAAACAAAAAAGATAAAAAGATACCTTAAGAAAGAATCACAGAGCAGTTAAATGAATTGCCGAAATTGTGGCTTTAAATCTAGCCAAGGTGAGAATATTACGAACATGTGGGGGTAAAAGGTTCCACAATTTAATAACTAGAAGAAACTGTGGAAGCTTTTAGAAGAGATGGAAAGTTGGCGTATGAGAAAAGGCCCCCTTCTGGAGGCCTTCTGGAGCGAGGTAGAGGCTAATTCAAAGAGACTTGAAAAGGGGGTTGGGTTAGTGATCAAGTTATAACAAAAAACATGGTGCTATTACCCCTTTTTAACCTTTCTTTCTCACACAAAATAGGTTTACCTAAAAATACTTAGTTAGATATATGCTTTATTGAGTTGAATAGCGAGAAAACAAGATCAAAATAATCATCCAGAACACCACTCACAAACAAAAAAGTTAAAAAGATACCTTAAGAAAGAATCACAGAGCAGTTAAATGAATTGCCAAAATTGTGGCTTTAAATCTAGCCAAGGTGGGAATATTGCGAACATTAAGGGGTAAAACGTTTCTAAAATCTAATAACTCGATTTAAAAAGAAACTTAGAGAAAGTATTGCGTCAAACTTGTTCTGTTAAATATTTAGTTTTTCTGTTTTTTTATATAAACAAATAATCAATACTGAGATAAACAAAAAAGTTTTCTAGTTTATACTTTTTTTTTCTATTAAGTTAGCCGACTAATCTGTTCAATTTTTTATTAAATTTTAAAGTGTAATTTCTCAAAAACTCCAACATCAATTTTTCTGAACATTTGATAGATAGATGAATGACTGGGAATCTTCTGATAATTAGATAGATAAATGAATGACTGGGAATCTTCTGACAATCAGATAGATAGATGAATGACTGGGAATCTTCTGACAATCAGATAGATAGATGAATGACTGGGAATCTTCTGACAATCAGATAGATAGATGAATGACTGGGAATCTTCTGACAATCAGATAGATAAATGAATGACTGGGAATCTTCTGACAATCAGATAGATAAAACAAATCAACAAAATTGGAAATTTTAAAAAAAGCATTATTCTTTTGAATCCTTAGTATAAAAATCGAAAATTAAAAAAAATAAAAAAAAAGAAAAGCTGAGTTTCTTTATCAAAAGTATTTGGTTTAAAATAATCATAATAAAATTGTGATATTGCTTTGTGAGCATTTATTTATATATTTCTATATAAAAAATTAATTATACATTACAATTGAAAGTCACTTTTTTTATAAAAAAATAATACGGGAATGGAAATCTGATCTTTTGACAAAAAAAACTACAGTAATCTAGCATTAAATCTACAGTAATCTAGCATTTATCCTATAAAATCTCTTTCTCAAGCGATTTTTGATTTCCAAACCAGGAAACTTTCAAAATTTTAGTTTCCTTTTGGTGTTTGATTTTTTTCTTTGATGGTATACTCGTAGGATTTGATAATGGAATTGAAAAATGACAGAGAAATTGAACGGGACACTGGAACTCTTGCCTCTATGCGATATATAAGTGGTAAAGTGCGTAAAATTGATAGGTTTTTAGTATAAGATCATCTTTGATTTTCAGGATGAGATCTCTCCTGATCTTGGTGTCCCTTCTCGGCTTTGTCGTCATCAGTTTAGCCGATGATGATTCGGGAGAACATGTAAGAATTTATAGATTAATGGTTAGATTAATGCTTAGATTGATGATATAGATTGATGATTAGAATGATTAGATTGATGATTAGAATGATTAGATTGATGATTAGAATGATTAGATTGATGATTAGAATGATTAGATTGATGATTAGATTAATGGTTAGATTAATGGTTAGATTAATGGTTAGGTTAATGCTTAGATTGATGATTAGAATGATTAGATTGATGATTAGATTAATGGTTAGATTAATGGTTAGATTAATGGTTAGGTTAATGCTTAGATTGATGATATAGATTGATGATTAGAATGATTAGATTGATGATTAGAATGATTAGATTGATGATTAGAATGATTAGATTGATGATTAGAATGATTAGATTGATGATTAGATTAATGGTTAGATTAATGGTTAGATTAATGGTTAGGTTAATGATTAGATTAATGGTTAGATTAATGATTAGAATGATTAGAATGATTAGAATGATTAGAATGATTAGATTAATGATTAGATTAATGATTAGATTAATGGTTAGATTAATGGTTAGATTAATGGTTAGGTTAATGGTTAGATTAATGGTTAGGTTAATGATTAGATTGATGATTAGATTAATGGTTAGATTAATGGTTAGATTAATGGTTAGAATGATTAGATTGATGATTAGATTAATGGTTAGATTAATGATTAGATTAATGATAATTAATGATTAGATTAGATAATTAATGATAAATAATCATCTTTTAATTAATTTCTTTGAATTTTATTGAATGAAATAGCAAAGACTTTCAATATAAGATCTAAAAAAATGAATCTAGTTTAATGGGGGCGCAAAGGCTTGCTCTATTTTAAGCAATGGGTGCTATTGATGCTACTGGTATTGATGGTATTGTCATTGCACTAGCCAGCAGATGAATTCATCTAGTACTAGATTAGCACTAGTTTTAAGCTCTGATCATTGAGCGAAGAGCTTTTTGAAGCCGTATCAGCATTCGATTACTTATCTAACATCAAATTTACGAGAGTCTGGTTACTCATTTTGAGTCTAATACAATGTAAATAATTAAATGAATGATTGAATGTCCTGTAGGAAAATAAAAGCAATAAATGTTATTATAGGTAGTTGATGTGAACAATTTGGGAAATGATTTGACGAAAGATCTTGGATCTGATGTTGAAGACTTTAAGAAATTCAATAAAAGGTTTCATTTTTTCACTTTTTAAAATCATTTCTTCTTTTAGATTCAACAAAAAGATCAAGCAAAAGGATTTCAAAAAAGCGGCTAAAGCTTTTAAAGAAAACAATAGCAAATTGAAGGCATTACAAGAAAAAAATAAAGGAAAGAAATTCAAACTGAAAATGAATCGATTCATGGCTCTACCCGAGGAGGAATTTCAATCGGTACGATTTAGAAAACCTATGTTTTTCTGGAGCATCTAATACTTTTGATAAACGCTTGCTTTCTAGCCTACTTAGTTCAGTGTTTTGCGTTAGAAAGCGTTCGTTTACAGAGCACAAAGTACACGCCAAAATCTACGTGCTCAACCGTAAATTTTCGCTTTTTTGGCTTAGACTATTCAATTCTTTTTTAGTAAAGGGATTCGTGCATTCCAAAGTTTACTTTTACAAGGTATTCTATCGATTTTATCTTTTTTAAATGCTTTTTAAATGCTTTTCAATATTCCAGACGGTTCTGATCTCTAATTCCATAGATTATCTGTTTTAAATGCTTTTTAAATGCTTTTCAATATTCCAGACGGTTCTGATCTCTCCGACTTCGATGAAATTCAACTCAAAGACTCGCGCTATTGATCGAAAGGTTTATTTATTAAGGTTTTATTTTAAAAATTTATTTAGGAGGCAAAGAAGTTAAGACAAGCGAAACGAAAAGCGAAACAAGAAGAGAGAAAAAAGAAAAGATTGAACAGAAAGAAAGAGAAAACGGCGAAAAAAGCCGGGAAACAAGCGGCAAGAGCACAGGCAAAAGCGGCGAGACAACAGAAGAGGACGGGAAAGGTTTGGAGATGGGATTTGATGGGGATTTTCGATTCAATATAGTAGCTGCATTGAAGTAATCGTTATGGTTTAGAGTTTGATTCAAGAATTCAATGAAATCTGTTCTTTGACTGCAATAATCTCAAGTTTTGACCTCGTAAATTGAGCACAAATGACTCATTTGTGCCTAGCAAATGGATAAAACCTAAATAAAATAGATTATGGGTCGAATTTCCTATTCATTCCAATTTTAGAAACACAAAAGAGATACCGGAGAGGCTGAAGTGAGTGAAGTTGCTGAGGAAGAAGAGCCAATTGAAAATGAAGAGTGGGCTGAGGAAACAAATGTAGTTGAATTAAAGAAAGCTATTTATAAATTTCGTTTTAGACTGAAGAAGAGCCATATGATCCACGAATTGATGACAAATTGCCCGAGAAATTCGACTGGAGAGATTATGGTGTTATCACACCGGTCAAAGATCAATCAACTTGTGGAAGTTGCTGGACTTTCAGGTGAGATTTCTCGTTGCTAGATTGAGTGTTTAGATGAGCACAAAGTACAACTGGGTCTATCAAAATCTTTCAGCGCCAACGGAGTGCTCGAGGCTCAACACGCGCGGAAGCACCCGGGCGAGTTGCTCGATTTGTCGGAACAAGTGAGTTCAAGGAGATTGAAGTTATAAAACAATAGCATGAGTTCCAGTTTGATCAAAAAAGTTATTCTTTCTTGTATCTTTAGCAAATTATGACCTGTGTCTCACCGGATCGACTGCATATTTGCAAAGGAGGAAAAAGCGAGGATGTTTTCGAGTGAGTTTGTTCTTCTGTGCATATTTTTGACAATTTTTCATTAACTTTATGAACTTAGAGTATGGTAGAATCAAATAGCGATAGATTATTCTCAAAAAAAACTGCACCAAATTCGTCGTAACTCAAAAGAAAACCCTAGTTTTTCAATAAATTTTTTATACAAATCTTGAATTAAGTTTATAGATTTATTTAAGGTTCTTTTATGTTTACGAATCATTTTTAGATATTTCTTGAATAACAGTTTGGTGACTGAAGCGGAAAACCCGTATACACCATCGAAAACGATCACTCCCCGAGATGCGGGATGCAAGAAAATTGTAAAATTTAGATTTTTAAGGTTAAAAACTTTCAGATCAAAATGTGATTTTGTTTACCGTATTCTCTCTAATAGTAGTTCACCCTAAGCTTTGCACTACTACAGTACGGTGCAAAACCATACGCGGGATGCAAGAAAATTGTAAAATTTAACTCATTTTTTAGATTAAAAACTTTCAGATATAAATGTGTTCTCGCTAATAGTAGTTCACCCTAAGCTTTACCTAAATTGATCGATATCTCGAGAACCGCTTATCAGAACCTATCGATGTGAGGACGAAAAATGTAGCTGACGATGAGATCTTGTGGGGGATTTGAGTGTTGAGCAAAAGCTCTTCTATAAAAGCTTGGAAACCATAAAATAGCCACCAACTCGGCTTGCCAGGCTGCACTACTATTAGAGAAAATCCGGTATTTTAAGAAAATAAACCATATTCTCTCTAATAATAGTGCACCCTAAGCTTTGCCGAAACTCCTCGATGTCTCGAAAACCACTTATCAGAACCTATCGATGTGGGATCGGAAAATGTAGCTGACGATCTAGTGGAGGATTTGAGTGTTGAGGTTCTGGGAAAGCTTGCAAACCGTAAAATAGTGATCAACTCGGCTGGGTGCACTACTATTAGAGAAAATACGGTATTTGATTGAATTTTTTGAAGATTTCTCCTAAAGTCAAAGTCGCTTCACACGTCAGTCTCCGCGGGTCAACAGTTGATGAGATAAAGGATGCTTTGATTCAAGATGGACCGATTTCTGTTGGTTAGTCAATTGGACTTTGAAATACAAACTGATCCCTCTTTCATTACTGGGAATAGGGTGCCAGAAAAGCGTTTGTTTCCAAGAATAGAAAGCCAGTGTTCCACAAGGCGTTTGTTTCCAAGAATAGAAAGCCAGTGTTCCAGAAGGCGTTTGTTTCCAAGAATAGAAAGCCAGTGTGCCAGAAAGCGTTTGTTTCCAAGAATAGAAAGCCAGTGTGCCAGAAAGCGTTTGTTTCCAGGAAAAGAATCTGAAAAATTCCAGGTGTCTATTTGAATCCAGAATTTGATTACTATGCTGGTGGTTTATTCGATGCTCCTTGCACAGATCATGAAGCTGGTGGACATGCAATGATCATCGTTGGATACGGTAGACTTTTAAGCATAATCTAAACAAATCAATATAGCCGGAATTTAGAGTTTAAATCATTGCAAATAACAAAAAGATTGGTTGGAGTTTTTAGGAAAAGAAGACGATGGTACACCGTATTGGATCATCAAGAATTCTTGGGGCGAAGATTGGGGAGAAGGCGGCTATATTAAGGTAAGAAATGATCGAATGATTGGAGAAAAATTGAAGCAATTTCAGTGGAAAATGGGCGACAACTTGTGCAGCGTTGAATCGAAAAGACTCAATCAAGCGCAAATCGTTTAAGAGCAAAAGAAATAGAGAAATTTTTAACAATTTTCATTTCAATGACAAGAAACTTGATTCTCGAAATGTTATGTGCACTCCAGTTTGCTTAAAAACAAGACAAAAACGCCTGTTTAGTGAGCTGAGTTTCTTGGTAACAAACTCATCTCTTGGTTGGGTTTACCTAGGGTAAGTATATCGCTTTATTTTTGGATTTTTGATGAGGATTTTGTCTCACTTAAATGAAGAATACTAATCGATAGAATCAAATAAAACGGAAATTTCCCCCATGAAAGAGTACGAAATTCTCTCAAATCCACTCGATTTTCATCGAGATTTTCATCATGTTGTATCCGATTTGGATTTTTATCCGATTTGGATTGAACTCACCGCGGATATCCGATTTGGATTTCAATCCAAATCGGATATCTGATTTGGATTGAAACATTATTTCAATCCAAATCGGATATCTGATTTGGATTGAAACATTATTTCAATCCAAATCGGATATCTGATTTGGATTGAAACATTATTTCACAGTAAGGTGTCATGTTTTTAAAAAGGTTTTTAATCATTTTCTGGGAAATTTTATAGAGATTTAACTATGGCAACCTAGAACAGTTCGTTAGCACCACCTTTGCCCAAAAAGGTTTTCTTGTATTTTAAGGTGAATTCAATTCAAAGCCCTTTATTTAATTAGCGGCCGTTAACGAATGAAATTTTTCGCTAGCCGCTAACGAATCGTTCGTAAACGGCTAGCCGTTAACGAATCATTCGTTAGCGGCTGAATTTCGTAAGCGGCTACGACATATATATGCTTTATTCAGGGGCGAATAGAAGGGGCGAATCAGATAATCATAACCGCATATAACAATATTGCTACAATACTTTCACAAAAAAAGAAAGAAAACTAAAAATAGTACATTTATCTGATTTTTCTTTATTTACAAATTTCAATTTCTCTCAATTCTGAATGATTCAGTAGAAAATCGAATCAAAATCAAAAATCAGCTATTCTTTGAAGAGATTCTCCTCAAATTTCCCCCAATCCAACTGTTTTTTTTTGAGTCTACAAGGGATTTCAATAGCCGATTGAAATCTGGGAAAATGATGAGAAATCAACGAAATTTTTAGCTCTTTACTGAAAAATAGAAGAAAAATAGCTGACTTTATGAATGATCTAGATAATTGAAACATTTAAGTTTATTGTTTATTATTGTTTTTTGTGAATTTCTCTTCAAAAAGACAATAATAGTTGTGGGGTTAAATATTCGAGAAATCATCTTTGTTAACAATTTTATTAACAATTTAATGATCAAAATAAAGTGAGCGAATCGTTTTTCTAAAAGACATTCATTTTAGTAAACTACCGTAGTTTAAATATCAGTTTTCATTGAATTAGCCCAATTTTTGTATGATTTACATGATGGAATCGTATGTTGAGAGAGGGACCCGACTTTGGAAGCTTTGCGTTCCAGCTTTGCGTTCCAGCTTTGCGCTCCAGCTTTGCGCTCCAGCTTTGCGCTCCAGCTTTGCGCTCCAGCTTTGCGCTCCAGCTTTGCGCTCCAGCTTTGCGCTCCAGCTTTGCCCAAACTTATTGTAAAAGGTGACATATATGAGTTAGAAGAAATGTGAAAAATGCCAAGACTGAAAAATTATGAAATGATTTTCAGTGTTTATAGGAAAATTTTGTGTTCACTAAGTTCTATTTTTCAAGATTTTCTTTAGAAATGAAAGCGTTGTTTTGGCAAAAAATGTTTATAACTGGAAAGAGGGAAATTGAGAATTTCATCAAATTTCCAAGTTTTTATTAAAGAAAATGTTGAATCAACAAAGGAAAGTGTCTCAGAAAGACAGAAATGAAACGATTTATGCCTTAAACGATTGATTCAATTGAACTGAACTGATCATTCTCTACTGAAGAACTTTTGAAAAATTAGAAAAATGATTTTTCAAAATTTCAGGAGAGTTAGACATTTTAATTAAAAACCTAGTTAGACCCAGAAAAAGAACTTTTAATAGTTCTTTTTCTGAGCATTGAATTTTTTGGGGTATTATTATTAGGTATAGCAAACAATTTGGAAAATAATAGAAATTGTTGTTTGTTTTATGTTTTCATTTGTTCAGAAATTCTTTTAAATCTTTGTCTGTTATTTTTTTAAAAACTAAAAGCGATGTCATTTGATCTTTTTGACATAAAAAAACCATAATAAAAACCCAGGGAACTTTCTCAGAAAGCTGTTAAAAAGAAATCGACGATCGTTTATTTTTTTTGACTTTTAGGACTTTAGAGACAGCTGTTATTTTCAAAAAAAGAAACGGGTAAATAGTTATTGGAGACATCTGTGAAGGAAATTCCTTTACTTGAGCATTTTTGAACGAAAAATCCCCCTTTTCTTTGCTGATTCAACATTTTCTTTAATAAAAAGTTGAAAATTTGATGAAATTTGATTAAATTCTCAAAAAATCTATTTTTAACCCATTCAAAATCAATCGTTTAAGGCATAAATCGTTTCATTTCTGTCTTTCTGAGACCCTTTTCTTTGCTGATTCAACATTTTCTTTAATAAAAAGTTGAAAATTTGATTAAATTCTAAATTTCCCTCTTTTCATTTCATAAACATTTTTTTTTTTGCCAAAATAACTTTTTTTTTATAGAAAACGATCAAAAACTCAAAACTGATAAGAAATTTTTTTTCCAAAATTTCCTTTCTCTTGTTTGTTTTTATTTTTTAATTTTTTAATTTATATTTTGTGCTTTCTGGTTAAGTTTTTGCTTTGTTTTCCTTATGATATTCGAATAAAAAGTATGGAATCGATTGTGTCAGATGGCTTGCATTTACTTGAGACATTCATTGATTGGCTACATTGATTACATTGATTAAAATATAATTAGAAACGATGGCTGATGATGAGATCTTTATCCCATTGGCTGAGCCTGATCCCCAGCCAGAACCTTTACCAATTCAACCACAAAAACCCGAAGAACCTGAAAAAACGGGTGAGTTTTTGAAAATTTATGGAAAACTGAGAAGTTTTAACTCACCTAGAGACTTACTATTTGACTCTTTTAAACAAGAATCATTTGCTGGACTTGAATGACTCATTTTAGACCTGGAGAACCCAGAACCTGCACAGCCTGAACAGCCAGAACGACCCGTCACCCCTGAGCCTCAACAACCAGAGCCTTACCCGGAACCTCAACCCGAACCTCAACTCCCCGATTACCCTGAGCCTGAGCCTGCCCCAGTTGAGCCAGTACACCCGAAACAACCAGAACCCGAGCCCCAACCAGCTCCAACACAACCGGAGGAACCGCAGGAGCCGCATCGAGAAACGTATCCCGAACCGGCTCCTCAACCAGATCCAGAACCGAGACAACCGAGGGAAGCTGATCATCAACAGCATCAACATGTGGGTATTAACATTAAGACAAAATATGGCAATCATTCTAGAAATTGAATGTGATTCGAAATCATGAAGGCGACTTCGAGTTCACCTCGACAACCACTTCAATTCAGACATGGCATGATTGGAATAGAGGTCAGCTTTACTTTTATCAAGTTTACAAGACGCAAGTGCAGATCTCTGGGCAAAAATCGTCTATTTGATCGCCGAGGGGAGGGAATCGTCGATTTTCCAAAAAATCGCTGTCGGAGAGGCGAATCCGGCTGCCGGGAATCCACAATTTCACGATTTCACAGTAATTATAACATGAAATTTTGTTTTGAACTTTTGTAATTCCAGGATGGCGCTGATCATTTTGTTGTGTCTGATGTGAGGAAATGGGCTGAAGGAGAGTTGCATCAATTCCTCAATGAAAATTTCAATGCTTTTGAGAGAGGGGATCTTTGGATCGGGTTTTCGAGGGAAAATGGTCAGTTTCACATACCGTAAATACTGTAATAGTACCCCTCGTACCCCCCTCGTACAGTCGCGTAGTCGCAAAAGTTTTTTAGTATTTCATTATTTTTCAAAGCGCCCGTACTTTCAAAAAATGCGTCTTTGGTATCAAAAAATAGCTGAAATTCAGGGCTATTTTTTGATACCTAAGCGAGCATTGTAGCATAAAACAATGTCGAGAAAAACTCGTTTAAAGCTAGACTACGCAACACTCCGCACCGTCATTATGGAGGTGAGGGTACTATTACAGTATTTACGGTAGGGATTTGTATAGGGAAAGGGAAATTATGTTAAAGTTTTTTATTTCAAGGTAAGCTAACCGTAATCTTTTCTCCCTTTTATCCAATCTATCAATATTTTGATTTTCTTTAATAATGGATTTGTGAGTGAGATTAAAGGATTCAAAAATTAGCTAGCTATTCAAAAAAATTAGATACTATATATTAAAATGTTTGTAACAATCGCTCACTTTTTTGAATCTTTCAACTTTTTCAATTCAATTGATCATTTTGATTTCCAGCTTCAGTAAATCCATCAAATATCTTCTCCGATGTTTTCTCGAGAATTTTGCGTGGTGAGCAAATTGGTGATGGACACGATGTGGAATGTGTGGGGAAAGTGGGGAATGGAGAGAAATTGCTTTGGCATAAAGTTCATCCAAATGAGGTGAGAAATGGAAAAATTGATAGCTATGATTATAAATGGAAATTTTTCAAATTATAAACTTTTCAACATTCAGTGGGGCGCTGTCGAGTCAAAAGTGGCGAATTTGTCGAAAGCGCTCACCATGGATTTCTTAATCAATGGATATTTGAGACCATAAAAACTGGATTTTCGTCAATTTTGCTTTGCTGAATTGATAAAAGTCTTATCAATTATGTTTTGAAATTGATTCATTTCTTTCTTAAACATTTCAAACACGTGTTTTTTTTTTCTAAATTTCATCATCTTCTTGATGTTGCTTTAATAAAACTGGATTTATCATTGCCCAAAAATATCATCATTGATCGCATTGTTCTTCCAGTTTGACTGTTTGAGTCACACAATAGCTTGACGGATTTTTTAATCAAAAATACTAACAAAATTGGACATAGTGGCGCCAAAAACGACGAAGCATTTGACTATTTGTTTGGGAAAATGAGTAAGCCTAAATAGATGTAGAATGGTTTGCAGCAAATACTTTTATGAGAAGAAAGTCGAAAGATCGCGATTGTTCTGTTTGATTCTGAAAAGAATGCACTTTATGCTTATAAAATCGAGCTGAAAATGGCCATATTTGGAAAGGCAAATCCGGTGGCTTTGGGTAGCCATGGCTTTTGCCTTTTTGGAACAGCTCTCGTGTTAGCCATGAATATTAAACTTTTTAAGAAGTGCATTCAATTCTTGAACTTGGATTTAGTTTTATCGTCAAATTCCACTGCTGAAAGGAGATCCAAAGTTGTTTGCCCAAAAGAAATCTCCGTTTTCTTTTTGCTCTACACGGCTCCATTTACCCTAAAGCGCCGCGAAACGAGTCGACAAATTCGGGACACAAAAAATCGCATGTTTTGCTGACAAGGCTGTTTCATGGTTAGCCTGTTCCAAGTCAAAAGTCGTGGTTAGCCAAGCCAAAGCCAATGGCTTTCAATTGGCCTTGACCTGAAATCTCAACCCAAATGTCGTATTTGAACCAAAACCTTGGCTTTGTTTTGGCTTAGCCTGTAAAAAATCAGCTCCAAGTACAGTCTTGACTAACGGTTTCAGACTGACAACTTTCATAGAAAAAGTGATAAATTTTGCCTTGTTTTACAATATAACGCTATTAGATAAACTTTAAAAGCAAATTTTAATCAAACTAATGAATCTACCAGTAAACTGAACTAGCTAGTTGAATCACACAGTGAAATTTTGACAAGAAAACAGATTGGACTACGAAAAACTATGAAAAACCTAAAAAGGTGGATAAGTTGAATTTAAAGAGATGAATGAGTGAAATTACGCGGAAGAAAGGGCATCAACACCGGGAAGAACTTTACCCTCGAGAAGCTCCAATGAGGCACCACCACCGGTTGAAACGTGGGAAACCTGGAAGGAAAGTTGAAGTTTGATAAGAGCTATATTTGAATTAGAAAAGACATGATTCTACAATGCTGTTTTTTTAAAGAATAGTTGAAAATTTTGTAATCAATTCATTATCGAAACCATTTCCCACCTTGTCCTCAGCATCGTACTTCTTGGCCGCAGTGGCCGTATCTCCTCCTCCAATGATTGTCACCGCTCCCGTTTTTGTCACCTCGATCACCGCATCCATCAAGTCTTTCGTGCCCTAAAGATTTGTAAATTGAAATTGAATGGATTTTTTTTCTCTACCTTCTCAAAGTTGGCCCATTCAAAGACTCCAGCCGGTCCATTCCACACAATTGTCTTGGCTCTCTTCACAACATCTCCAAAAAGCTTTGATGACTCGGGTCCAACATCAAGTCCCATATATCCTGAAAAGGATAAATAGATCAGTGTACCAAAATGTTTGTCCAACCTTCCGGCACTCCATCAGCAAGTGTGGCCACTTTGTGTTCGGCTGTCTCACTGAATGAATCGGCGACAACGAAATCAACGGGAAGATGGATTTGCACTCCTTTCTCTTCGGCTTTCTTCAGCAATTCGGGCACAATCTTGGCTCCCTGAAAATTGGATCAGATTAGAATATTTTGCGAGTAATTTGGGTTTAGTTTTGGACTCAAAACTCACCTCTTCATCAAAAAGCGATTTTCCAATCGAAACGCCCTTTGAAACCTTGAGAATCGTGAACGCCATCCCGCCACCGATGATCATTTCATCCACCTGAGGTTATTGTTTTTAATCCAGTTTTAACAAACTAACCTTTTCCAGGAGATTATTGATGAGTTGAATCTTGTCGGCGACTTTAGCTCCACCAAGGATCGCAAGGAATGGCCTAGCTGGTTGATCCAAAGCTTTCGCGAAGTACTCCAATTCTTTCTTCATGCAGAAACCGGTGGCTCGCTGGTCCAACTTGCAGCCAACCATTGAACTAAAGTTGGATTTAGGGAACTGGTTTTAAATTGAATTCAATAGGATTATTAGGTTCGAAGTTAATAACCACGAGATCCAGCCTAATTAGAGTATAAAAGTATTTAGTTGAGGCTTGAGTTATCTTCAGTTTATTAGATTGACTTATCGGTTTACTATAGTCTAATGCTTTGGTCTTATTCAAAAGTAATTGCTACTTACAAGTAAGAAAGTAAGTTCATCGTTAAACAAATCGGTATTTATGGGTTATACATGCACAGTTTCTCGCTCTCTGGTCAAATGTTTTCGTGATTCTTTTAAAAAAACCAAAAATGTGGATGCAAATTTTGAGAATGTGTGACCGAGCTGCGCCGATGCAGATGTATAACCCATAAGCACTGACAAATCTTCACCTATGAGCTCGATGAGCCGTCCCGAACGCGTCATTGATGTAGACATCGCCCAATTTCGTCAACGATTCCCGGAATTTCTCGACCTCTTCCCCTTTTGCTTTCACTTTCTCACCGGCTTCGTTGACTCCCTGCAATAATTTTACTTTAAAATTGTTTCTAAATTTTGTTTTACTTCAAAATCTCACCTTTCCTTCCTCTTCCAAATGGAAACGAAGATTTTCGAGAAGAATCACCGATCCTTGAGTCGGATTTGCGCATTCAGCTTCCACTTCCGATCCAATGCAATCATTCAGGAATTTCACGTCACTAAAGAAATTTTATTCTTGTTTAATTATCAAACCCACCATCCAAGCAACCCTTTCAATTCATCAACAACCGGTTTCAAGGTATATTTCTCTTGTCGTCGTCCATCGGGTCGGCCCAAATGCGACATCAGAACGACACTTTTTGCTCCGTGATCGAGGGCATGCTGGAAAAATAGTATATTTTCGAACTTTTTACCAACTGACCTTAATCGTTGGAACGGCGGCAACAATTCGTTGATTGTTCGTGATTTTCCCCTCTTTCAGCGGCACATTGAAGTCGACACGGATGAGGACACGTTTACCGGACAAATCTAGCTAAAATCTATTCTATATGTCGTATTGAATTAAATTTAAAAGCTAGCCAATTTCTAACAAAAAATTTTCGCTAATTCGGTTGGCGTTTTGTGTCGCGGGCTCGGATCCGCTACCAGACAAATTATTGAATTGTAAGAATCAGCAAACTCATTTCGATTGTTACTAAAGTGTATTATAACGATAATTTAGTGTTTTCGACACCAAAAAATAGATAAATAATGACTAAAAGATCTCCTTTGGACATGTTTTAGAGAATTAACATAATTTAGCAATTAAAAATATCAGAGAGATGTATAAGTTCTTTCCATCGAAATCTTTGTTCAGCTTTATCAAAATACTACACAAGAAACTTCAATAGTTTTTTTTAAAGGTTTGCAAGTCCTAATCGCGGGGCATAATAAAAAAAAATGATCAGCTCGCTTGCTTTATTTTTTCTCTAAAACTGATAGATTCTTTGAGATGTCAAAAAGAGCTCTTTTAGTCACTATTTATCTATTTTTGGTGTCGAAAACACTAAATTATCGTTATAATACACTTTAGTAACAATAGAAATGAGTTTGCTAATTCTTGCAAAAAAAAGAGAGAGAAAATTCACACAAACCTTATCAATTGCGAGCTTGTTGAGGGCCATCTTTTTGCGTAGAATAGTGTAGAAAGTGCGAGTTGGGTGAATTGGTGGCGTCGAGGATTGTTCTTCGATCGAATCGCTTTCTTTCCAGACGAGATTTGTGTCAGCTGTATCGATGTGCTCTTGCACAATCTGGAAAAGGGAAATTCCTATGATTTATAATCAAATTGAACACATCAAATGGCAAACCATGCAAAAAAAAAAAGATTTTTAAGGGAAATTTGATGAACTAAAAAGGAAAAGGTATGAAAAATTTGGTTTAATGATAAAAATTCGAAAAAGTTAAAGAACATCAAGAATTTCATCACGAAAAAATACCCCAAGCCAGGTCAACCACGGCATTTTTGGGTTCTGAAATGGAAAACAGAGAGTTTAAGCAAAAAAAAAAAACGCAAAACGATGGGTAGAAGTTTGATGAAATTTTCGAAAACAACGGGGGTGGGACAAATGCGACCTGTTTTTGCTGGAAAAGGCCTTAGGAAAGGCCGTAGAGCTTCAAAAATACTTCCAGATAAGGGAACCGTATGCGTAGATTCCGAATTTCGACAAATCAGACCTCGCTGACACGTCAAATTTGGGCTAAAAGGCAAAAACTGCGGAAAAGCGTTAAGTTGCGTAGTTTTTGCCTTTTAGCCCAAATTTGACGTGTCAGCGAGGTCTGATTTGTTGAAATTCGGAATCTACGCATACGATTCTCTTATATGGAAGTATTTTTGAAGCTCTACGGCCTTGCCTAAGGCCTTTTCCAGCAAAAAAAAGGTGCGCAAATGTCCAGGTGCGCAAAAAAAAGGTCGCATTTGTCCCACCCCCAAAACAACACTAAAATCAGCTTAAGGAGTCAAAAGATTGGATTGAAAATGAAGAGAAAAATAGAAAAATATTAATACTATTGGAAAAAAAGCAATTTGCTATCAGATTTGTAAGTAATAGTCTGTGAAATGAATTTTCTAAACAATTCTAACAAAAATCTACTATTTACTTGTTTGTTTGTGCAAAAAAATATCGGCTCTTTTCTCGAAAATCTCCCGAATTCATTCGTTTTTAGCTCATTTCCGTTGCTTTGGCTATTAAAAGAAAGGATAAAAGTGCGAACAAAGTAAATAAATGGCATTGATCAAAAAAAAAACAAGATTCAATGGAATTATGATGAAATTTCAGAAATAATGCATTAAATGGATACTATTTACGATCAAAATAGCTTGATGATTGAATTTTTAGTGTTTTTCCTTACAAGGGAATGGTCCAAATTTAAGGGATTCGATAGAAAAGTGATAGAAAAGATATTTCGGACATGGGGAATCCGATGTTATCTTTAGTTTTTGCCTAATTTGCCTGGTTTTCGAAAAAAAAAAGACGTTGCAAATTTGGGTACCTACGCTAATGACCGAACCTACGGTTTATAACGGTTGTTTCCCTTCCGATCAAGTATGACTGAATGGTGTAGTGGTAAGTGTACGCGCTCTTAATCTTAATCCAAGTATTGTTCCAAGTTAATGGATACTTGAATTAATTCTTAATCCAAGTATTAAATGTTTTGCAAAAAAAAGCAAAAAGTTTTTCACGAAACGGATCCGAACCCGTGGAAAAAAGGCAAAATTGAGAAAAAAATGGGGGTTTAGGCGAAAACTAAATACAGCATCGGATTCATCGCGTACACTTACCACTACACCATTCGGTCATACTTGATCGGAAGGGAAAGAACTGTTATAAAACGGACGTTCAGTCAATAGCGTAGGTTCCCAAATTTGCTGGGCCTTTTTTTCGAAAACCAAGGGATTCAGGCGAAAACTAAATACAGCATCGGATTCTCCATTTCCGAAATACCTTTTCTATCACTATGATCCAATCCTTCACCTTAAATTTGGACCATTAGTTATCACAAAGCAATTAGTCATTTTGATTCAATTCTTGCAATTTTGGAGAGAGAATTTTGGCTAGTATTGAAAAAATTCCAATAGTTTAACATCTAGAAAAACAAATCGACTGACAAGTAGAGCTGCATTTTTGTTGAAAATTTGAAAAGAACGAGTTTTGCTTGGGAAATGATAAGGAGAAAATTGTTAAAATTTTGAAAAAACAAAATGTTGTTGTACTCGGGGCGAGGATGGATCTGCTCACCCCACTGACATCCCTTTTCTCTTTTCCCAAACATCGATTCTTTGCTCGCGTTTTCGTTTCCTTTCTTCTTTCACACTCTATTGCTCTTCAAAAAAAAAAACTCTGTGAGCACGTAAACAGCCCATCTCTTGAAATATTTCTTTGACCTAGGGAAAACAAAATAAAACACAAATTTTCTCATTCAAAGATATATTGGGAAGGAAATAATCAACTTGAACTAGAGGATTCTGATTGCATTTTATATTGAATATGGTGTTAATATCTTTGTCTGGGTAATTGAACCGATATATTAGGTTGATGCATAAGTCTTTTCGTTTTTTTCGTACTTCTGTTAAAAAGTAACAAATTCACCAATTAATCTATAGTTTGCTCTATAAAAAAAGTGTTTTTTTGTTCAATTTCCATCTTTTTAAATGAATTTCGGTTCACTTTCAAGCAAATTCGAGAGTGAAAAACGCCTTTTTCGTAAAAATCTATAAAAAAACTCTACGGAAAAATTGGCTGAATGAATTTCTCTGAAATTTTGGCGAAATATCAAACGTTTTTTTTCTCTATCTTTTATCTATTGACACGAAGATAGGTTTTCTTTAGCTAAGGTGTCTAAACCGCATCATCGAGTTAGCCCTTTTTGACTACCCGACTTCATACTCTCAAGAAAATCCAGGCATTAAATATTTTTAAACCCGTTTTAATGTTATTTTGCAGAAAAATAATTGCTTTTTCTAATGAAATCAACCGTAGTTTAATTGGTGCATTTGTTGGCTTGAAACGGCAGACGAAAAGGAACAAAAACACTTATGCATCAACCTAATATATCTGTTTTAGTTCTAGAAACTTTGCAAAAACTAAACTGAGATACAGACTTCAACATTTCATAAAAGTCAAGAGTCGTAAAATCAAAAAAATCTTTATATTTTCTATGTTCACTTTTGCAAGGAAACTGATTTAAGCTAAATGGTGGAATGAATGTCAATGTGCAGTATGCACTCAATTCTAGTGGTAATTTTCAAAATCTAACTTTAAAATAGATAGATACTCTGGAGTTTTACCAAAAGCTTTAAGTTGAATCCTGCAGTTGAATCCTGAAAGCTATCAACTATAGCTATCAATTTGTTTAAAGGGGAGTATTAATCGCGGCCGGGTGACCATAAAAATTTTTTTTTACGGCAACCACCTGTTTTTTTATTTTAATATCGCTGATTTTATTATAAAAAAGAATAAAAATCACCCGGCTAAAGTGATTTGATGGGTTTACAAATTTTTGGAGACACTGCAAGACTTGGAGAAAAACAAGATCGTCACTCATCAGACACCTCAGCACAGTCTAGATCGATAGATATAATTCTTCCTCTTGCTCACTTTCATCTTCGCTCAAGTACAGCAGTTCTTCAAGTCGGCTTCCCATCTTTTCAATTTCCAGCGCATCTTCACCAGAAGTGACTGGACCGTAGGACGTCTTCAGCGCTTTGATTGACACAAGTAGATCTTTTTTTCCATTTGTGGTCGCTTGTGGTTTTAGTTTTCTCAAATAGGTGCCTTTTAGCTGCTTAGCAAATAATCAAGGTAAATGTTGTCCAAAGATTCACTGTAACCAGGCATGCGTTTACACTTTAATCTAAAAAAAAAACACTCTAGCTACTGTCATTCATTTAAACGGCAATGAAAAGTGCTATTGCGACTGCAAAACAAAAGCAATTGAGTAGCTGCAAAATACAGTACTATTCTAATCAATTTTAAGCGCTAAACTCTTTACATTTTCCAATAAGGAACCATTTTTGAGCTCCATTTTTTTGATTACATGACTTTTCTGCCAATTGAGTCTATAAAATGACTTCTCCGAAGCGGAATTTTTTTTTGTTGTAAACGAATTTCTCAATTAGATCAACAATTAGAATGATTTTTCTGGAAAGACAGCAAAAATGGTTTCAAATTTCCAGTTTTACAGGGTAATTTAAACTTAAATCCTAGAGATTATGTCGAATTTAAAAGGTTTTCAATCTTAATAATCTTCATTTTAAATGCAAATATGTTGGAAACTTTCCAGAAGATATTCTTTATGTTGTTTGGTTACTTTAATTAAGACTTAAGACTGACACAGAATGAGATTTTTATAAGCACATTTTGCTATAAGCCCTTTTTATAAGCATATTGCAAGAATTGCAAGCAAAAATGCAAATTTTACAAAATCTTACAATGTACTTGAGTTAAAATGTTCAATCCGATTATGGACTTGATATTTTGGAGGTGAAATTTTGATTGGATTTGAATGAGGAATGCAAGAGACAAGTAAATCTGGAAGAATACTCAAAAATCTCATTCTGTGTCAGTCTTAAATCTAGCTAAAGTAATCAAATAACATAAAGAATATCTTCTGAAAAGTCTCCAACATATTTGCATTTAAAATGAAGATTATTAAGATTAAAAACCTTTTAAATTCGACATAATCTCTAGGATTTTAATTTAAAAGTATTCAGTTTTCGAAAACTTTTCAATTTTTCGAGCCTAGTCCTTTCTTGAGTTGAAATTTTTGACTTCAAAATTTGATGTCCTTCATTTCCACCCACATTTCACCTCTCAAATTATTCCTTTCAAAGTTTTCTTTTTTTTTAAATGTTAACATTCTAGATTTTGACTTTATACTCAAGAAAAAACTGAACCCTGTAATTTTTCAGAAACAGAAAAACTAAATTGAGATCTCTGCCTTCATATATTTTATTTTCCAAGAATAGAGCTGACTTTCCATTACAGTAATCAACTAGGAAACAAAATTTCCTAGAGAATCGGATGTGTCAAAAAGGTGGCGTCTGTGGGAGCGAAAAGTCATGTTCAATCTGGTCATATTCAATCTGGCCATGTTCAATCTGGTCATGTCTGGTCATGTTCAA